GCGCATGTGCCATGCGCCTGGGCCCAGGGCGCCAAAAGGGCTCGGGCCGGCCCTGGCTGGGGCAGAGGCAGTGCTCTGTCTAGCAGCCCTGAGTCTCTGCATGGGGCTTGCTAGACAGCTGAGCAGCCTCACAACTTAGCGGGATCTTAGATTGGGTTATAAATTAAAGTAGAGATTATTTTACATATTCCTAATAGCTGTTGCATGTGCCATGCGCCTGGGCCCAGGGCGCCAAAAGGGCTCGGGCCGGCCCTGGCTGGGGCAGAGGCAGTGCTCTGTCTAGCAGCCCTGAGTCTCTGCATGGGGCTTGCTAGACAGCTGAGCAGCCTCACAACTTAGCGGGATCTTAGATTGGGTTATAAATTAAAGTAGAGATTATTTTACATATTCCTAATAGCTGTTTTCTGGCCACTTACACTACGTCAGGACATGGTAGGGTTAGTGCAACTTTGATTTTGACATACTTTTTCTTTGGAACACCATGTCATCTCTTCTGACTATACTCCCCTTCCATGCTGTTGGTATATAAAGAGTTGAGACTCCTTTTGTACTACCATATTGTTAGAATCTAGACTACTATGAAAACCAGTGTAACTGTTTGCCCTTTTATTGCTAGCTAGACATTGAACCCCTCTTCATCCCTTTATCATATAATTTTGGGCTTTGTCCCTTCTTAAAGGTAGTTTGATCTGCACAGAGATTTTCAGTGGCAGAATATGGAATACGTTTCCTTGGAAACTTTAAATGTCTCAAACAATCATTTACATAAACAATGCTGTCATCAAATTTCACATTCTTCAGTTGAAGGAAAAAAAACGTAAACATTTCCAATGCAAATAAGTACTATTTAATAAGCCGTCAATCTAAAAAGCCCCTTTTGTTGTATTTTATAATAATCAAAAAGTTATCTATCTTAAAATAATTCTAGATTATAATATAATTTCATTTGTGGATTAATTGTCTGCACTGAAATAACTGTTTAAAGTGCTTTCAAATTCAACTTAAACATTTATCTCTAATTGCCATGCAAAACACTGTTGCCCTTTCCTCTGGGTAAGGCAAAAACAACTGTCATTCCCATTTTAACACAGCTTGTTTCCACCTGTCAAGAGCATTCTGATTGCTTTAATCATTCTGTTCATAACTCCTGATTTTTCTCTTCTGAGGTTTGCATAGAAATATAATATTCCCCTAACCAGACATAAAGACACTACAAATTTTTATTCTATACTTCAGAGAAGTTCATGAAAAGGCAACACAGAATGTATTGCATACCTGCTCGATTGCAAAACTCCAACTGTACTGATAAATAAATCATTATTCCCTACCTTACCACTGTTGTGTTCCCCCAATAAACAAAATGCAATAAAATGGGAGCTTGCACTCTGTTTTTTAAAATATTGGGCAAAGCAAAACTAAGCAGCAGGCTTCAAAACTGTAGACACTAAGGGTATGTTTACACGGCAACAAAACACCCACAATTCACCTGGGTCAGCTGACTTAGACTTACAGAGTTTGGGCAATGTGGGTTATAAAATTGCAATGTAGACGTTCAGACTTGGTCTGGAGCCTTCATTCTCAGATTCTCCTACCTCATGAGGTCTCAGAAGTGGGCTCCAACCTAAGGCCAAATGTCTGCAAGTTTATTGCCTTAAAGCCGGAGGCTTTGTTCTACCCACACCCGCCACCCGCAAACCTGAATCATCTGACCAGGCCATTCACAGATGTTTTATTGCAATGTGGACCAGAGTGAAGCCATTCTTCTTAAATTGATTGGCCACTTTGTCCTTTTTCAAAAGCACTTTTTTAAATTCTGCCATATGTAGGTACTATTGCTGCTGCATTGCTAAATATCTAGTCTTACACTGGAATCTTAATAATTAATAGTAAAATTCGATTGTATTTTAATAGATCCAAAAGTCTTAAAGTACTTTGAGGGACTAGTATTATTACTTATATTTTTAGATGGAGAAACAATGTCAAAGAAAGATTGACACTGACATTGACATTAAAATGTATTACTTTCATGTCTATGTCCATGGTAAAAAACATTTAAAGTAACTTTGACTTACATTTTATAACCTATGTATTCATGTTAAATTAGAAATAGCAGGGAAACTTCATTAAGACATAGACAATGTTTGGTTCATCCCTCCTTACAACAAGATTGTAGGGATTAGAAGAGGATGAACAAGGAAATCTCCATTATAGTTATGAACGTCTCAAACAATAGTGGAAGAACTGGGTTTTTTCATATCTAGGGTGTAATGAAAATTTCCAAGTGAGCAAACTGTACATTGTGTATAAGAAATGCTAATGAGAAATATGTCTGTAGATATTTGTTTCTTCCTACTATATGATATCTCAAATGAAAAGGAGGGAGGAGGGAAAAAGTTTTAAAATCAATATTATGCTAAATTTATGGATATGAAAAACACTTTTTTTCCAGCAAGAAAATTATGGGACAAAATGTTTTAAATTTGATGTCTAATAAGAAGTGTTATTTTACTTCTACTCTCTTTGGTCTAAATTCATAGTCTTATTTCCACATCAATTAAGTTAGAACCGACATGGATCTGCTTCTTAACTACGTCTCTTGTTTTGTGAGATGCTTAGAAATTGTATCTCTGATTTATCTCCACTTTCTTCAACTTAGTGATTTTCTCTGAATACAAATGTGCACATGGAAAGCCAGTTCCAGAACTACAGAGGCATCTTCTTATTTTCTGAATTGTAAATATATGAATTCTTGACTTATTTTCAGAATCTTTCTGTCCTTTGAGAATGTTCCTGCTGGCCCCCTCCCCCAGAACTCAATTTAGAAATTTGTTCCTTTTTAAATTAATGTAAAAATGTTGAAATATGTCAGTAATAAATTAATTCACCATCTGAGATTTAAATAAAAAACCTTCAGAATGTTGTGAAATGATGATATAGTTAAATCAAAACAAAACAGACTCAGTGATGACTAAGTGTTTAAAATCATGCTCAGTGTAAACAGAAAACATTTTACCTGAATAGCATTGGTAACATTCCATCCAGCTTCCCAAGTGGTGATCAGTTTGGTCTGGGCACCTTGCATGTGAGCCTTGAATTGATATCCAGGATCCTGGTGGTAGGCATTAAACTCAGGGGTCATGGTGGCATCTTGTTCCTCTTTTTCCTCTGTGTGGGTCCTGTTAAGTTCATCCTTTCTGGCAAAATTCACATTTTCTTCATCAGCATCTAGGCAAGCTTCCCATCTCACCAGCCTGAAAAATGACTGTGTACCCCTTAAATGATGTGGAAGAGATGAAAGAGTCTGCTTCAGAGAAGCCATCCTGAATATGGCTATTAAAATAGTCTTTTCTTGGCTGTCTTTATTTTTTGCAGTAGTTGTGTATTATTAGTCCCTTTGTTAGATTGGCATTGACCCTGTAGCTATGATTTATGAGGTCTGCTGGCCTTCAGTCTTTTATTTGTGTCAGTTTCAAATAGCAAACTAAAGGGTCTTCAAGGTGCTGCTCAGAGTCAATGAGGTTTAGTAGCCTGCAAGCTGAAATTTACAATTCAAATCTTTTACTTATGGTAAGTACATAGATCAGTCACTCGTGAAGAAGCTACAAGTGATTGCAAGAATCTGTTCCTGGAAATTTATGCAAGCATGTTTTTTTCAATGCAAGTAAATATTCCTCTAAAAAAGAGAAATTAGTGCATTGATTGACTGATGCCTTTTAATGTAACATAATATATATATATATAGAAGCTAATAGAGTAGGCTATTGCTGGGTTAAAGAAAGGTTTATTGCATTCTCCATATATACTAAGTAGTCCCATCATATTTAGACCAAATTATATCATTCTTTTGTAGAGGCATAACATCATAACTTGAAGAATAATTTATTCAAAATTAAACAGAGAACAGGAGAAAATCCATTCAAAACACACTCTATTTTTCCAGATGTTAGATTTTTTGCTCTTATTTAGTGTCTACAGAGGTCAGTAGAACTTTAAAAATGTTTTAAAATGTAAACCTAAAGTTTAAAAACTTCTAGCATATTTATAACCATTTCTATTTCATATTGTATGTTCTGAGGAGAGAGAGAATAGTATGTTAATGCTGTTTAATTCTGTTTGTTCATTCCAGGGCTATAAATAATTTTACATTAGCCTTGATACACTGTAAGACTATAAAAACTGTATATAGTTTTTCTCCTTATTTTCACAGCAAGGCACCTGGGATATGTTTAAGGAAGGAAAAGAGAGGAAGAGTACTTTCAGGTTTCACTGATTTCTAGGGCCATTTTCTGCATATAAAAGCAATCTTCTCCTCAGAATCTTGTGTTAAAGAGATCTGCCAGTACCCCTTTGGAAGAAGCCTAAGAGAGCACCACTCTGGATTTGACAGCCAGTCTGAGTTTGTTCACCTTTTTAAAGTCTATATAGCAATATGGTGAGTCATTTGTCTTTGAAATCAACACAATAGGACTTCTCCAGTCTCTGTTGCCCCAAGTTCTGATGTGACATTGCATTTTTTTTGATAACCCTCCTCAATTTGTGTGTGTGTGGGGGGAGGAAGGGATTGTTTGGAACTGTTCTGAATTATTTTACTAGGTTCCATGTTAATGTGATCATGGTCATTGACATTTTCTGAGGGTGGGAGTGTGTGTTTTCTTTGCTTTTGGTTTAGGTTTTTGTTAAAGGGCACTAAGGTTTCTTTCAGGCAATGTCTAATTTGGAACCCCATGTTCCTCAGCAAATGGCATGATGAAAAGGCTTTCCATAAATTCCCCTGGTTTCAACAAACATGGTAAATTTGTCATTCCTTCCTTTCCACTGATCAAATAGTTTACAGTTCCTACCTCCATTACTATCTGATAAGGGCCTTACCACTTGGCCGTCCACTTTGGTTCAGAGACTGGAAGAAGCAGTAGATCACTGCTGCCTGGTTGAAAGGCACATAACCATGCCTTTTTATTACAAGATAACAATTGTTGTTACTCCTGTGATACTTGGAAGCTTCTTCTAGCACAGGGTCTTATAGTCACTGGTCCAAGGTTTTTGGGTCTTGGAATCTGGCTCTTCCATGTCTCTCTCACCATGTCTACTATGCCTCTTGGCCGTTGCCCATATAGCAATTGCAGTGGTGAAAACCCTGTTGGAAGCTTGTGGTACTTCCTTAATAGAGAAGAGTAGACTCTGGAGTAGTTGGTCCCAATGTTAAGCAACTCGGATAATTAATTTCTTGAGCAGTTTCTTTACCATCTGATTTTTTTCAACTCGGCCATCTATCTATGGATGGTGCACAGAGGAGTATAACCTCCTGACTTAGGCTATGTATACACTACAAGCTTTGCCGGAAGAGGCAATGAAAATGAAACACAGATTAGCATTTTCTTGCACTTCATTTGCATAATCTTTCGATCCGTTTTTGCTCAAAAACAAGCAGTGTGGACATTTCCTTTTTGCACAAAAACCCCTTTTTGCACAAGATCCTTATGCCTCAAAAAAGGAGGTATAACGATCTTGCACAAAAAGGGGTTTTTGCTCAAAATGGAAATGTCCACATTGCTTGCTTTTGTGCAAAAACGGATTGGAAGAGATTATGCAAATGAAGTGCAAGAAAATGCTAATCTGTGTTTCATTTTCATTGCCTCTTCCGGCAAAGCTTGCAGTGTAGATGTAGTATTAGCGTAAGCCACAGAACTCTCTTATCAGTCAGGCTGCAAAACCTGTTTTCTGGTCCATCAGGACATCTCTGGGAGTCCTTGAGCAGCTCATTAGCAACAGCCTTGTCACTTGTTTTCTGGAACAGTATGATTTCTGGCTATCAGGTGGTGAAGTCCATTATAACAAAAATATGCTGATTTCCAGAGGCACTCTTCTTTAGAGGGCATATAAAAATAATTACCGGTACTATTCATTCAAGGAGGGTCTCCATCAATGGGAAAAATACTAGTGGAGTTCATGGGACTCCTTTGGTGGCAACTAGTTAGCATTTAAGGCATGATGCATAGAAATTCTGAACTTCTTTAAAGACCCTTGGGCAAAATATTGCAGCAGGATCCTAGACTGTATTATCCTTCCCAAGGTGTTCTACACCTAGGATTGTGTCTGCTAAATGTAGAAACTCACAATGATATAACCAGGGCAGAAGTAATTGCATTTGTATCTCATGCCTTTGCTTGTCCTTGTCTATATTTTCAATTTTTATTTGTGTAAAAAAAAAAATCTGAACATTTGTTATCATTTATTTTCCAAACATTAAAACTAGGATGAAATTGGCTTACAACAGGAGTAAAAAAAAAAGGCTGGGGAAACTTGTGTAATATATACATTGAAACTATTTTTACGTACAAAGATATTTTTGTCTTTCTGAGCTTTTTCAGAAATACTGGCTTGTACATGCTTGCATAATTTCCTTCAAAGTATCCTCACTCATGTTGAGCCTCTTACTGTCTTGGAGGTAGTTCAATTTTGAAAATATGTGCTCTATATCAATAGATGTGCTGGAAAAAAGTACTCTGCATCAATTTGCTCAAATTGAGAAATATATTTTGATGCCAGAACATTGAGCTTCATATATTAGGTATGTTCATGTAAGTAGTCATTCCCTTTTGGTGACTGTTGACCCCAAATTCTCCATAGTGACTATACCCTGAAGCTCACTTTCTTCTTTAAGCTTCTTGTGTCTCTTGCTTTCTACATGCTCGTTATTCTGCCATCAATATACTATAACAAGTCTGTCTTATTGGCAAAATAAAGGAATAGTATGGCCATACCCTCAGGGCATCCACCTCCCCAGCAGCTGTCGCTGTTACTCTGACCAGGCCTTTGAGCATGTATCAACATTTCTTTGCCACTCTGGGTCCAGTTGGAGAGGAGCAGTCTCATTTTAGCCAATGGAATGCTGTTCTGTGGCACCTTCAGCATTGTCTAGATAGAATATAGAATCTGTGGTCTCCATTATGCTTATGAAGGTGGTCATCTTTATCACCTCTCTCTCTGGGGCTACGTCTCTCTCTCTTTCTCTCTCTCTGGGGCTACGTCTACACAGCTTCCCTCTTCCGCAAAAGCTTATGCAAATGAAGCATGGATTAGCATATTGCCATGCTTCATTTACAGAATTAGGAGCCGTTTTTGCACAAAAGGCGCCATCTACACAGCACCTTTTTGCACAAACCCTCCCTCTTGCTCAAAAGACGTTCTTCCTCATTTTTTGGGGAAGAACGGCTCTTGCGCAAGGGGGCTTTTTACACAAAAAGGTGCTGTGTAGATGGCGTCTTTTTGTGCAAACACCTCTTGCGCAAAACCAGCTCCTAATTAATTATGCAAATGAAACAAGGCAATATGTTAATCTGTGCTTAATTTGCATAGGCTTTTGCAGAAGAGAGAAGCTGTGTAAATGTAGTCTGTGTCCTCTTCCTTCTAGGCTAGGAGGTAAGTATGTTAGTGGCTTAACAGGGAACAGTACTCTAATGTTTATTCTGGAGTGTGTTCCTTGGGTTCCTGTACTAAGGGAAGTTTCTGTGAGAGTTCAGGGAAATATGTCCAGTCTCAGTAAATGTCACTGAGAGGAAGATCTGGAGGCACACCTACCTTCATCCTATCCTGGTTCCCATGGATGGTCAATTTTACTGTCATGCTGAGATACTATAGAACACTTCTATGAATGCATCTATTGGAGAGCCCCCTTCTTTTACAGATTCCATACCATTTCCACTATCTACTATCTATGTCTGATTATACTGAGTTTATAAGCACTAGTGTTTTTTGGCCATTTACCTTGACTGGAATGATGAGTTTTCTTGGGTCTTTTGTCCATGCCCTATTTTGTCCTGTGCACATCTGCCTAAAATTACATTCAGTTTTATGGGCAGTCATAAAACCTGTGTCCCTGTTGTCCATGCAATTAACAGGCTACCAAATCTTTCTCATATGTTCTAGTGACCTTGACTTCTTTCTGAGTTTCACTGGTCCCGTGTTTCTTTATTGTCATGGGATGTAGGGCTGGTGGAGCATTTAAAGTATGACCCTGCTGTCTTGGGGAAATCTTTCTCACAGATCCTTAGAGGGGCACCTGTGCTGCCAAATGATCAGGCAGATATTTGAATTTTCTTGTGGTTTACCCAATATTGGCCACCTCTATCCTTGGATACTCAGTCCATTTCCTTCTCCAGTGTGTATGAAGCAGGTACTTCTGCAGCAGAGGGCCCTTGGGTGGCTTGAATTACCACATAGGCCATAAGCTAGGGTAACCAGTCAGTGGCTATAAACCAGTCTTAGCACATAGAAAGAAGAATCTGTACAAATAGTTCCATAACTGAGTTCTGCTCACTC